GGTCTTGAGGGAGCTCTTTACTTTTACCCATCATCAGATGTTTCATGTGATACCTGGCAATCATCTGGGTCTGAACCAGCTGATATTAACTTGGACTAACAAGGGGCAGGCTTGCTTTTGAATTACTGAGAGAGTTCAGCTGGTGTCTTGGCTTTCCATGCCTTTTTACACCTCCCTTTCTTCATCCCTGTGCCATTCCACATTATTACAAATAACTTCATTTCTGGACATTTATGGTTTGATTTCTTTGTATGTATGGATCACTTGGGTTGTTACCGACATCTAGTGAAAATTTCATGTCATTAGCACCTCTAGTAATATATTTACTGAGAAAAATGTTGACGTATTCAATACTTATTTTACCCGCTGTATGTCCATCACAACATATTTAGTTAAATATTTTGTATTCCATCAACTACCTAAAGAAAAACATACTCAAAATAAAAGTATTGACAATTATTTTTAAATTAACAAGCAATACGTATTGTTAGTAAGTGTAATTTATTGTTTTATTTTTGTAGAAATGTCACCATAAGATCCACAATATTACAGACTTATTATAATAACACGTTTGAGAGTAGGACAGTGTTGTATCAATATTCCTGAAATCAGTTTGGTTGATCCATAAAATAATTTTAACTGAACTTTGTAGTTTGTGTGAAATAAATGCAGCACCGTCAGGTGATAAAATTAAATGCATTTTTAGAAATATTTATTTATTAATAATAGAAAAACACAAATTTACCTCATACTCTTGTGAAAAGCCCAGAGCATCATTGGCCTTGAGTCTCTTGATGTGGTCTGCCAGGTCACAGATAAAAACAGGAGGATGTTCCTTCATTCCTACAGACACCAAAGATATGAGAACACATCAGCATAACCAAGAATTGAAAGTCATTAAATTAAAGTAACCAAAACTAAGAGTTTACAGTAAATGGAAGAAGACTGCTTAAAAACAAACTATTCCTAAAGATATTGGCACTGGCTCTACTCAAAGCTTAGTCTACATAACTTGGAATATTAGAGCAATTTTCTTCACAATAAGCTGGATTTCCTCTGAATAAAGTGCTAAGGCAAAACATAACACTCAAGTTCAGGCCATGGTGATTTCCAGTTCTGCCAGAAACAAATGTTGTGCAAACAAAATATAAAGCTGGTTTTGCATTAACCATTAAAAAAGATGAAAAAAATGTGTGCTCTTTTTTCCAATTTGTTATTGTCGTTTTTTAATTTAGTTTTGAAACAGAACAGAGTAAAAAAAGAGTAAAAGAAAAAGAAAAACCACTCGATTAATTTTCACATTTTATTTTGAAACAAATAAACCAAAGAGGGAACCATATACGGATTAATGATGCTGGGAAAGTGTTCCCTAGTTAGATGCATCTGTACGGAGCCCGCGAGCGGACATGGGAGGATTTTTTCTTTTGCATTCCCACCTAATACTATTGCGTTACCTCGCAATACTTTTGTGTTGTACCTTTGTGCTGGCAGCACAACGGCTCAGTGGTTAGTTAAAACTGACACCTCACAGCAAGAAGGTCCTGGGTTTTATCCCCGGTTCGGACTTGGGGTCTTTCTGTATGGAGTCTGTATGTTCTCCTCGTACTTGCGTGGGTTTTTTCTGGGTACTCCGGTTTCCGCCACCCCCAAAAACATGTACAATATGCTGCCTTCAAACCCAGGCCACCCTTGAAATGGGACTTGCTTGTTTAAATAATAGTAAATAAAATACTATTGCGTGGGAATGCAAAAGGAAAAAAACAACAACAACAACATGTCCCCTCGCATGCTCCATACATCTGCAACATCTCAAAAAACATTACAAAAAAGTACTGATCACTTAGCAACAAAAGCATGTTAGAAGAACAAACAAATTAAAAAGAAAACCCTTCCAGATAAGTTATTGCTTTTCAGGAATCACATGAAATCAAAGTTCTTCTGGCCCAGGAATAAAAAAAAACTTCCCTCTACTTTTGAGTCATCTAAATCATCTGCCTGAAATACACTCTCTCCATGGTCACTGTTTTATCAAGTGGTTTGGAATCTGTTTTCTAAATACAAGTTAATTACTACAAACACGTATCATTTTATCAAATATCTGTGTTTCATATTCTCCTCAGATGCAGGCATGTGAGATTTCTTTCACAGCCACAGGATCTATATGAATAAGTTTTAACTTTAAGATGTGTGCAGGCAGAGTTTGGAAGGAACGCATGTGTTCATGCCTTGTGTGTGACAGTTGAGTCTCCTCATCTCCACGGGGTCTGCAGTGTGGGTCATCAGCGAGTCCTTTATCCCTAACTTGTGCTTGACTTTAGCTGAAGTCGTACGTTTACTGAGGGTAAAGAACAAACAGGAAACGCAGAACAAGAACATTTAGATTCAAATTAATGATGGATTACAACTGAGTGTCTGAGGCTTCAGGAAACAGAAGCTCACTAACCTCTCTTGTTTGCTGCAGCCACAGAATGCAGGTAGAAAAATGAGCAGAGAGAGAAATGGTTAGATTTCCTCTGCAGAGGGAAACAGCAGGAACAAGACGTGCATCTCCATTCAGTTCTTTTGAAAAACACTTATTTATTTAATTAAATTCTAACAATAGGTTTAAAATGATGCTAGGAAATAAATCTAATATTTTTCCAATTACCAACATTGTTTTAAAAAAGTCATGGAAAAATGCCATTTTCCACATAATGGTTTTCTGAAGCTGGTGACCAATAAAGTTTATTATATCAGCAAGATCACTGTGTAAACACTTGCTGATCTGCAGTCGGGCCAGCCATCTCCTTAGATGGGCTGATATGAAAGTTATCTGGACAAACAAATCAAAATTTCAGCCTGTGTAAAGACACAAAAATGACACAAAATTATGCACACTTGCCTTCAGGCTCAGGCCCCACTTGCAAAAGAGATCTGCGATCTCAATGGGATTTGCCTGATTAAATAATGGCAAATAAATAAATAAATAAATAAATAAATAAATAAATAAATAAATAAATAAATAAATAAATAAATAAATAGTAAACTTCATTGAGCTGAGGTGACCAGGCCATCTCTGATGCATGAGAGGAAAACCTTCAGGAAAATTAACTTGTCATCTCAAGAAACCGGTCCTCATTTTCTCGTGATAACAGCATAGTGTGTCATTATCACGAGAAAACCATGGAAAATATGTGGTAAATGGCCGATCCGCAAATAATCTCGCAGATATTTCTTTTATCCAGTGTCACCAGACAGCTTTGGAAGAACATATCTATAAGTAACTAGATACCGCGTAGCGGTAACCTAATGACCCCCGCACACACAAATGCACCAGAACTCAGAAGTCTTTATTCCTAACAAATGTCATGCTACTAGATGCATCCCAAAATTGTACTGGTTTGGGTGGGGTTTTTTGTGTGTGTGTGTGTGTGGGAGGGGGGGGGCGGTGGCATTGGTTGACCTGATGGATAGCCCTTCATCAGAGCTAAACAACAAAAAATCTGAAGCTCCTATGTTGAACAGTTTCTGAGTTATAAGCATTTTTGCATGTCCTGACACCCCCTCTTTGAAAGGAGCCCCCTCCTCAAATATGGGGTCTATCGTAAAACCGTTGGCTGGTGCAGTGTAGGTCAGACTCATCTACAGTCCTGCCAAATTTCATGTTGATCGGTGCAGCCGTTTTGTGCTACAGTTGACCAAAAATCACTGAAAAAGAAACAGTATGAAAACAGTATGACTCCCGCTAACGCTTCGCGTGCGGGGGTCATAATTATTTAAAGCAATAAATCCCACACTGTAGGGACATTGTGTAAAATGTAAATAAAACAAATAATGCAATGATCTGCATAAAGCATACTCTCCTGTTTTATTCACAATGTTGTTTTTAAACATGCTATATACTGTAAATAAAACTAATGGTGAAACTAACTGAAAAATTATGAATTTATGAAAATGCTATTGTTTGGAAAGGAGCAAATGTTCCGAAACATGGATATAACTTTCTGCATTGATGGTGCCTTTCCAAAGTGTAAAGTGTCCATGCCAGAGGCCCAAATGTACCCCCATACCGTTAGAAAAGCAGACACTGAACTGTGTGCTGATAACCGTCTGGGTGGTTCCTTTCCTCTTTAGGACAGTGGATGTGGCGTTTGTGGTCTTTAAAACTCATTTTCTACTTTGCCTCAGTTCATTTTAAATGAGCTTTGATTCATCTTTACCTCTGAGATTCAGCCTCTCTAAAAATGTACTTTTATACCCAATCCTCTAACTGACGCCAATGTACATAATTAGTTACAAAATGCTCCTCCAGCTGTTTCATTTACTTTTACAGTCTATGTTGCCATAAATTTGAATTTACACTAGTTTCTTTTTATTAAACTCATCAAGCTAAACTGTGCTAATTCCTATAAACAACTGCTAGGCTGTTTAAACAATACAAAATCTTGTTAAAATTGACAGTGACTGCTGGACATGGGTACCAGTGATCTTGGTGACAGAAAGGAAGAAGCAGGTAACTCATCAGACACTAAACTGTTTCTGACATTTACATTTACGTGATTACATATTGTATCTGTTAACAATACCTCTGCCACGGCTCATCCCACTCACCTTTTGAAGAGTAAGATGGCAATGACTGTGATGATGATGATGATGACAGCCAGGACTGGACCCATGACCCACAGCATCTCTGGATCCTCCTGAGCCTGGCGGACCATGCCACTCAGCCTCACCATGAAGCCGTCAGAGAACGGAGAGGCTGCAAACATCCTCTGGTTCACAGGGTCAGAGAAGGAGCAGGTTATATCCACATAGGACCAACAAAACATTAAACATTTACATCTTTCTCACATCACCTCTCCGGCTCAAAATGTAATATTTCTCTACTGACATCATGCAAAGGTGGAATATAAATGTTCTTTGATTCTTAATGATGAATTTCTAAAAGAACTGATGCAGTTACTACATTTCTTAGTTTTATATTTATTTCTCTCTAGGTACTTTTAGAAATTTTACTGTCCATGGCCATGGTTCTCAATTGGAACAAAGGGTGAAAACATCCCTCCCGGTCAGGGATGAGTCACTCCCTCGTGTGGAGGAGCTCCAGTATTTGAGTCCTGAGAATGGAGCAGGAGATGGATCAACAGATTGGAGCCTCGTCTGCAACCATGAGAGGGTTGCTTCAGCTTGTCATGGTGAGGAAAGAGCTTAGCTAAAAAGGGAAAGCTCTTGATTTACTGGTCCATTTATATTCCAACCATCACTTCTGGTCAAGAGATGTGGATCATGAATGAAATAATGGAGCCAAGCAGCTGAAATGACGTAAAGTGAGGAGCTCCATCATCTTGGGGTAATTTGAATTAAAGTCGCTGCTCCTCCTCATTGAAAGAAGTCAGCTGAGGTGGTTCAGACTTGGGATGTACTGATACTGGTATTGGGTAATGGGCCTGATGCCAGCATTATTACAAGTACTCATACTTGTTTCTATTTTATTGAGAAACACTAAACAATACCTTGAAGCAATACAAACTTGTTTTAATTGGACATGAGGTAGTGCTCACAGCAGAGCAGATGCGGCTGATTAAGCCGATCTTATCTAAGTATCGGCCGATCATCGATCTCCCAAAACTAAGGAAATCTGTGCTGATAAATTGGCTGGCCGATTTATTGTGCACCCCTAGTTTTGATTTAAGAAACCGCAGCTGGGTGGTCTTCAAAGGTGTCAGCCAGCACTACACCGGCCCACCTTATCAGGAGGCGGTGGTACAGTTTCTGTCACCATCTCGCTCTGAGGTTCAGAGGCGGGAATTTCAGTTCCTCCTACCCGCCTCTGTGTGTCTTCTGGATGGACCGAGGTGGTCAGAACACATCAGTAATGGTATGGGGTGTCTTCCTGAAGAGGCTTTAGTGAGTAGACCCCTGACTTAAAGAGATGAGCCTCAGACTAAATACAGTGGTTTGCAAAAGTATTCATACCCCTTGAACTTTTCCATATTTTGTCACATTACAACCACAAACATAAATATATTTCACTGGA